CCCCGCCCGCCTTTGTACCCGATGAACTGCCGCCTCAGGGCCAGAGTCTCGGCCTTTCCGCGCTGGTCCGAGGCCATGTCGCCGAGCAGCGTGTGTTCGTTCGGGCGGCAGTCCGCGTAGAGACTCGGGCGGCTGAGACCCGCGAGCTGCCTCTCAGGCCCCGCCCCCAGGCCCCGCCCCTCCCGAGATGGCCCCTTCGTGGGCCCCGCCCCCACAATGGCCTTCACCTGTCTTATTCTTTTGTCCGCGGGCCAAGTACACCGCCAGGGCCACCATCCCCACCCTCGAGTCGGCCCTTGGGAATGGCCACGCGGGAGCCGTCTTTGTGTAAGCCTTGTGCAGGACTGCTGTGAACACCACCCTCTCCGCCCCCTCTTCCCGGGCCTTAGTCTTCCGAGCCACCCAGGGAGGGGCCCCAGATGACCCCGCCCCTGCTTCCGGACCTAGATGGACTCCGACTTCCCTGTCGGCAGCGCTGGGCCTTGGGCCTAGCCTTTAGTCGCCTTCCCTTGCATCAAACACGATGATCCTTGTGTGACAAGCAGCCAGCCCAGGGCCCAGTCTGTAGAGCTGAGGTCCCCAGGCTCTGCCTCGCAGCCCCATGGAGGGGCAACAGCAAGGGCGGAAGGAGGGCCCAGGGCCACTGCTGCTGCTGACCTCGGAGATCAGCATGGGCATGGCTTCCGGGCATCACGCGGACTGGGATGCAGGCAGGGGTCGCCCAGTTCAGTGTCAGGCAGTGGGTCGGAGGAAACAGCTCCTGAAAGCAAAAGACGGCTATGCTCCCAGCTCCGGCAAGTGAGCAGCAGCGGTAGGAGAGCAAAGCCCTGCTGGGCTTGCGGCCGGCCCAGTGCTGGGACTTCCTGGTTTTTTAATTTTTGGGGGACTTCCTGTTTTGATGCCTTTTAGAACTAGTCAGGGTTGCCCGAGGCCTGGGGAAGGTGTGTCTCTTGCTTGTGCCTCCTTTCCTGGTCCCCTGCCCTCTGCTTCACTCCCGAATTGCTGCCTTTGCTCTGTGCCTCTTAAGCTTGTAAAATGTTTAAGGTGGTTATTAAACGACACCTGAATTTTAATTATTAAGTGGAATTGAATCTTTACCAGGCTTCTTGAAAAAATTCCTCCCAGATTAAAGTGAGAGGTAGTTTACCTGTGACTTGTACTTCTATCCTGAAACCCCCACCCCCACCCCCCAGTGCAAAATGTGACTGAGGCCATCAGTGTCCCCAGAGTCTCTGCTCCCTCTCATAGGAGGAGAGTCCCACAGATGCTTCCACAAAGTTTCTGGCTTTTAATGTGTGTGTGTGTGTGTGTAATATTCTTGTTTGGGGCCCATCTTTGGCCCTGTTCATCTTCAAACTACAGCCCCAGCTGAGATCCAGGCAGCTCGGCCGTTCCATTGACTATGGGCTCTGCCTATGAGAAGGCTGTAGTTGGGTCCAACCCACATCTTACCGACTCCACAACTCCCCAGAGTCAGAAGGAGATGAAGTTGGAGTCCAGACCAAGTGGTCTTTTCTGGGGCCTGAACTCTCCACAATGGGGTAGGAGACACAAGGACACTGCTCCTCGACTGCTCAGGAAAAAGAACTCCTGCTTCTTGTCCATGCTCTCATTGCAGCTCCTTTGAGAAGCCTCAGGGGCCAGGAGGGTGATGGACGGAAAGAAGTGGCTGAGCCAAGATCAGAACATGGGGTGTGGTGTTTCTCAGTGGGGGAGGCACTGGCCTCCTTGATGAGACAGTTCTTCATTGGGCAGGGCTGTCTCATACACCCACATTTCATCTCCCTGGATCTGTCCATACCAGGAGCCCTAGTGGTGTAGTGGTTATGTGTTGGGCTGCCAACCACAAGGTCAGCAGTTTGAAACCACTAGCTGCTCTGTGGAAGAGAGATGAGGCTTTCTACTCCTGTAGAGTTACAGTCTCAGAAATCCACAGGGGTAGTTCCACCCTGTCCTTTCGCGTCGCTATGAGTCGAATCGGCTCCTTGACAGTAGTTTTTAGTTAGTTATTTTTTGGAGCTTCCCAGGAGTGTCTTGAAGCCACTGGGGACAACCAAAGGCCCCTGTGCATTGCCGTGAGTAGGCGGGGACCAGGAGGGCTCAGAAGGAAGCCTTGTGATTCATTTTTCCATCACGTGTTGAGCTCAGGGCCAGGTCCTCAAGATGAACAAACGCAGCCCAAGCTTGTGTGCAGAGCAAAGCTGCCCTCCATAGGGGGGGGGTTCAAGGCTGCGGCCTTTCAGAAGGTGTCCCTGGGTGGGTGTGAACCACCAACCTCCTGCTGAGCTGTTGCTAGATGTGGTTGTGTTGGCTTCGACTCACAGTGACCCCACATAACCCAGAGAGCGGCTCCACAGGCCGTCCCAGGCTGTGCTCTGTACGGAGTAGTTGCCAGTCTTCCTCCCACGCAGCTGCTGGGTGGCCATCTTTCCGTTAGCAGCCCAGTGCTTACCTTTCTGTGCCACCAGGGATGCCCGGGCACTTAGGAAGCCCAGCTCATTGCCATCGAGTCTCTAGAATTCCAGCAGTCCGATGGCATTTGGGGGACACAGTGGAGTTGATAAATATGCTTCCTTCTCTTGCTGAAGCAGTGCTGGTGGAAGAATGGTTACAAGTTGGGTTACTAACTGCAAGGTCAGCAGTTCAAAGCCACTAGCCGCTCCTCAGGAGAAAGTCCGGGCTTTCTACTCCCATAAACAGTTACAGTCTTGGAAACCCACCGGGGCAGTGCTACCCTGTTTTACTGGGTCGCTCTGAGTCAACATCCACTCGATGGCAGTGGGTCAGTGCTTGCTGAAGGCAGAAGTTTGAGGCAGAGCTGCTCTGAATCAGGGGCCCCCTATTGTCTCAATGGCAACCTTCTACAAGTCACTTGTTCCTCCTTGGCCTCTTTGCCCCTCGGGGCTGAGGGACCTCAAGCTGAGGAGTCGGCAAGCTCCGAACTTCAGAGTTTGCAGCCTGAGGCTACCAGGTGAGGCCACAAGGGGATGGCAGTGGGCTTAGAATGGCCCCATCTTGCCCCCAAAAGCAGAAAAATGACGGTCTCACTTGAGTGAGTCCCTTGGGTGTTCAGGGAAAGGGAACTTCTCCCACAAGAGCCAGCCTTCATGGGGCTGCCTAGCAACGCCATGCCTCACCACAAACAATTCAGTATGCCAAGTTAGAGGGCGTCAAAGAGGCTGGCTGTAGCCCCAAGCCGACCATGTCCTGGCTGTGTATCCCCGGACAGGCAATTCCCTCTCTGAACCTTCCCTTTCACACACGTGCAATTTAAATCGTGACCCCTACCACATAGCCCTGCTCCTTTGAAGGGCAGGTGCATGGTCACGGGGTACGTGAGGTAACCGGGCAGGAGGAGGAGGGATTTGCAAGCAGCAGCGCGCAGCGGGTGTGGGAAGGTTAGGCTGGGACCCCAAAGAGGTTGTGACACCCGTAAACCACTCTTTCTCTCCCTGTTGTACCGCTGGCCTCCCTGGTGACCGGGCCTGCTGCCTCCTGGGGGCTGGCGCTGGAGGGTGGCACATTTCTCCCCAGGACATGCCTGGGCCTCTTCTGCTAGTGCGGAGGCTGCGTGGCAGGGACTCAGGAACTAGATGCATTCCCCGGGTCCCTCTCTCTAAGCTGTTCTGAGGACTTGCTGGACGAGGTCCTTCTGCGTCACCAGAGAAAACCAAGCTCATTGCCATCGAGTCAGCGTCGACTCACAGTGAGCCTAGAGGACAGGGAGACCTGCCCTCTGACTTTCCCGGACTGTAACTGTTCAGGGCAATAGCAAGCCCTGTCTCCCTTGGAGAGGCTGGTGGTTTTGAACTGCTGACCTTGCAGTTAGTAGCCCAACATGTCACCACTATGCCACCAGGGCTCTGTTCCTTTCCACCTGGGAAGAAACCAAAAAGCCGAACTCAATGCCATTGTCATTGCTGACCCATAGCGGACCCCTGGTGGGTTTCCAAGACTGGAACTGTTTACAGGAGTAGAAAGCTGAGTCTTTCTCCCTCAGAGGGGCTGATGGTTTCAAACTGCCAACCACGAGGACCACAGCCTAACAAATAATCGCTACACCATAAGGGTAGCTGCTAGTCACAAGTGCACCGAGGCTCCCCCAACGCCTGGGGTGGAGTAGGGCCATGCCCGCTGCAGCAGGGGAGCGAGTGAGCATTCTCAGAGGGCTGCCCCAGGATGGACTCGCCCACGCTTTCCCTTTGAAGATGCTGCTGACTCTTCCCACCAAGAGGTGGGGTCTAGTTCCCTCCCCTTGAGTCCAGGTGAGCCTCTGACCCTGGTGAGAGGTGACGCAGCTTCCAGCAGACCCCTTGGGACAGTTACCTTTGGGAGTAAGCCTCCTCGCTGTGAGGCAGCCCCAGGCCCACAGAGGGGTCACAGGAGGTACTCTGGCTGCCTGAGCTCCCAGCCGCATTAACCTCCAGACAGTGGGGCTGGGAAGCCTCCGGGAAGACTCCGCCAGCCTGCCTGCAGCCATGGGAGAGACCTCATTCGAGACCACCAGTTGAGCCCATTAACTCCTGGAGGAGCGGACATCTATCGCAGTTGGAGACCAGTGGGGGGTGATCGCCGGTACCGATAGATGACAGCACTGAGACTCAGTGATGGGCTAGCGGACTTGGGTGGGCCCTGCCGGGGCTCCACAGAACCCCACCCCCCTGCACACTGACTGAACTACCTCTTCTGGTTTCTGGGACTGGCCCAGGGCGTCGTCCCCTTTCTCCTCCCCATCAATGGCCAGGCTGAGATGGTGCTGAACCCTCCCCCAGAGGGGCGTGGAGGCCATTTGCAAGGACGGGCATGCCTAGACACATGTGTGCTCTTTATTTCACGCGATGACGTCCAGCTCAGCAGACGAGGGAGAGGCTCGGGAGCGAGCTGGTAGCAGGGAGTCTTGGCAGAAGCCGGGAAGCCTCTTGTTCGGGTGCAGGTGACCCAGGCCGAGCCCCTGCTCAGGCTGGTTGGGACTGGCCCCGATGTTTGCTCCGTCGGCATAACTCTCAGGAGGGCTGTTTTAGCAGCTGCTCAGCGCTCTTCCGGGCTGCAGACGAATGCTCTGGGTCAGAAGCCCGTGTCCTCAGGCCTGCAAATGCCCTCACGTCCATGAGCTGGAGGGGGTGGGGCCAAATTTGGGAGGCCAGGGCTCCCTGCAGCTGGGCCCATGTCCTGGTGACCACGGTCCTTGGGCACGACCCTAAGCCAGAGGACAAGTGTTCTTAGCCCAGGCTGGCTGCCCGAGGCCCATGACCCAGGCCACTGGTGAGCATCAGAGCTGCTGGGAAGGCCACCCACTGTCCTTGGTGCCCAGCTGCAGATCCAGTGGCTGTCTTGTCTGTGCCGGCGCTTCCAGGACTGGGAGACATAGGGGGGCGCTGGCCATGGCTGAGTCTGGAGCAGGGAGAGGCCATAGCAGTTGCCAGCAAGCCCCAGGTGTTGTGGGCAGCGTGGGGCCCCGGAGCACAAGCATTGGGGGTGGGCTGGGGGGCACGCTCCGTAGGGCGGTTAGCAGCTGTGAGTCTCGGCTAAGCAGGTGACTGGAGGCCTGGCCTGCGTGCTCCCAGCCAAACCGGAGCCAGGTTCCATCACCGTCATCGTCTCCCAGGGAAACTGAGTCTGGCAGGTGCTACCCACCCCCACCCCCACAACCTGGCGTCACCCTGTCCACGTTCCCGATGGCGGCATAGGCTCTCCCCTCCAGGGCCGAGCTGGGTATCCTCTCCAACATGAAAAGGCCGCAGGTGATGGCATCCATGAAAAAGGATCAATATATTACTGTTTTGTTTTTACAAAAATCATAAATGTCCACATGAATCTGTACAGGTTTCCAGCTGGGTGCTGGGGTCACTGGAAGAGAGGGAGAGATGGGGTGAGGCGTGGAGTGAGGCTTGGGGAGCTCTTGGGAGCAGCCCTGCCCTCCAGGTGTGTGTGACCTGGCCCCCGAAAACAGGCTCCCGGCCTTTCAGTGGTGCCTTTTGGACAGAGTCCCAGGGAGTGCCAGTGACCAGGCCTGATAGAGCCCACAGTGACCCGCAGGGTCAGTGCCACGGCCCTCCAGCAGAGCCAAAGCCCAATGGCGCTGCCGACATCTGGCTGTTCAGCTGCTGGGCAGGGAGCTGCAGGCCCCCAGGGCTCTGAGGGAAGGTACCATACCCTGAAGCCTCCCTCCTCCTGCCCGCACATACTGGCCCCTCCGCTGAGCCCAGCCCCCGGAGGCTCTGCCGTGCCAGTACCTTATGCCAGCAGCCGGGCACCGGCAGTCCATCAGGGCCCTGAAAAGGAAGAGAGCATGCGTGACTGGGCGGGAGCTGCTCCCGTGTCTACAACGGGGCCCATGTCCCTGAACAGGGAAGGGAGTTGCAGCCTGGGGATCTGACAGGTGTGGCTGCTCAGTGTGACCTGAGGGGACAGCATGCCTTCTCCCGTTCCCCCAGGAGCAGACACTGTGGCCCTTCCTGCCCTTGTCCAGTGCCCCCTAGGTGCTGGCTGGGTCTTTGCTACCGGTGGTGGTAAAGACAGACACTGGAGTTATGGGCATCGCACCAGATAGTCGCTGACCAGGAGGTGGCCTGGGCTCCAGTCCTCAGCCCTTGGCCTTTGCTGGGAGCAGCCACCTGAGGCTCCCCTGCCTCCCTGACTGTCCCAGTGCATCCACACACTGTGCCTGCAGTCTGAGTGGCACCCCTGGTCGGCCACGGTGGTCAGGATGGAAGCTGGCTGTGGGGCCAGGTAGCCGACTGGGCCACCAGCCATGCCTGCTCAGCCAGCAGGCTCCATAGGAGGATGGGTGGCCTTGGGCAGCCTGGTGGTGGTCGGCTGGCAAGGAACAGGACCGAGCCCACAGTCTTTAATAAGGGCCTCAGGGGACGGTGGAGCAGAAAGCACTTTGCCTTGTTCCAGGGCATGAAGCACAGGCCTCAAGCTCACAATCCCTTGGGGTCACACTCAGGGGATGCAGGTCAGGGTGGGGCGGACGAGACAGATGGACAGGTAAAGAGACTAGAGGGAGGGTGGGGGCAGAGGGGTGGGCACAGCACATCACACAGCAGGCAGATACTGTACCGAAGGGCAGGGCCCGCCTCCACATCTACGACTCTCCTGTTTCAAAGGCAAGGGCTTGCTGATGCTGAGGGAGGGCCTGGCCTGGTCACCCCTCCCTGAACCACCCAGGAGGTGGATCCACCCCCCCTATGGATGGGAGGCTGAGAATCAGGGGCAGTAATGTCTCTGGCTCTGTGCCCCTTGGGGTTCTCCCCGCTGGGGCATGGGGGTGGGTGGTGTGAATGGCAGATGTGGGCCCTTGGAGATCTAGTCCCCCCACCCCCACCTCACTGTGCCCGTGGGTCCTGCCTGCCAGGGAAGGGCATGGGGTGGCTGTTTGGGGCCTGGTCAGCCTGATCAGCCCTAGGTGGTGACAGAAGACAGAGAGGGTCTGAGGAGGGGTCATGGGAGCAGGGCAGGGGCAGAGGCAGGATGGGATACCCCGGGCTAGAAACGGTTCCTTTGGGAAGGGCGGGCAGCTGCGTTTTGGCCCAGTCTGCTCCAGCCCAGAGAGTCAGGTCCAGACTGTGGCCCCAGACTGGGTCAGGGCAGAGGTGGGGGACCCTGGGCTGGCAGGGGTCTCTTCTGATCACCTCATTACTTCCCAGGCACTAGCCCTCCCACGAGCCCATGTGTGTTTCTAGATAGCGCCTAGCAATCAGTGGCCCAAGCTGGGCGACTCGGGGCCAACTGGGGTGGGGTAGGGGTGGGGGGATGGAGTTTGGGCAGCAAGACCTGTGTGCTGAGAACAAGCAGGAGCTTGGCTGGCCCTGGCTAGAGGCGGCAAAGCCCTGGGGGAGGGGGCTCCCATTTGGACACTTACCACAGGGCAGGGCTGGTCCAGGCCCGGTGGTCCCGGCTCCCCCTTCTGACCCTTCACTCCTTTCCGTCCAGGGACCCCTCGGTCCCCCTGCATGAGAGAGAAGGGAGTGGAGGCTGGGGATGGCTGCTGGGCTCAGGGCCCCTCCAGCACCTCAGGTGGATGGAATGAAGATACACAGTCAGCATGACCTCCATAGCCCCACCTTACCCCCTTTCCTCTGTCGGCACCCCGCCCTCTTCTCCTTTCTGCCCCCACCTCCTCCTCTTTTCCAGCCCCACCTTCTCTCCGCGCTCACTGCGGTCACCTTTCTCTCCTCTGGGTCCAGGGAAACCCTGAAACAAAGAATGGCAGTTTCTATCTCCAAACAAGGAGATCTGTTACCTGTCCAGCCAGCTCCTCTCCCATCCGCCAGCCTCCCCCATCTGACTGCAGATGCCAGCTGCCCAGCTTCAGCTGTGGGGACACTGGCATGCTGGGGAGCGATGGAGGGAGGGGACTGTTGTGTGCACCAGGCAGAGCCGCCAGCAGGGGCTTTCTCTCCAGTCACAGCCAGGGCAGCGCCTGTGGGGGGGCCAAAGACCCAGGGAACCCACAGTGTTCACCCCCCCACGTGAAATGGTGGCCTCTGTGCTTTGTCCTTGGCTCCGTCTCGGGTATACCCACCTGCCCGCCTGCTCATCTGCCCACCCATCTAAGCCACGCTACTCAGCAGCCACTCAGAGCCCAGCTGTGGGTTGGACACCGAGAAGCAGCTCAGGTGAGTGCCCTCCTCCCCCAGGCTAAGGGGACAGGCAGAGTGCAGCATCAAGGGAGGGAACCGTGGGGTTCCCAGGGGGCAGGCTGGCCTGTGCAGGTGTGGGGTGAGGTAAGCTTCTGAGGATGGCCAGGTGGAGAAGGCCAGGTAGAATAGGCTGGCATAGCTTTGAGATGCCACCCAGGCCCGGAAGGCGGTTGTGTCCACATCCATGGGGAACGGAGTCTCAGCAGTCCCACCCTCACTGCTTCTAGGGCCCCAGAGCCTGATGGCGGGCTCAGCAGCCATGCCTTTGGCCGCTGCCCCATCGCGTCAGTGGGGCGCAGCCTGCCCAGGCTGGCCCGCCTTGTCCAAAGCTGCTGTCCAAGGGCACCTTCTCCGCTTTCGTCCGACGCAAACCCCGCGTGCTTGCAGTCCTGCATCTAGTCATGGGTTCCTCCAAACGAGCCACTTTGTTTTGAGTTTCCTGGCTTCCGTCATCCTTCTCAGTCTGCCAACTCCACTCCCAGCTCCGAGCTGAGCATGTGACCAGGCCCGGCCAATCAGGGCACCGCATCCATCGGCGAGCCTTCTTCTGAACAACAGATCCCCTCAAGGCTCCAAATCCACTGCCACTGGGTCGGTTCCAACTCACAACAACTCTTCAGGACAGAGCAGAGCTGCCCCAGGAGGCTGCACATCTTTGCGGGAGCAGAGAAGTGTTTTTCCCACGGAGTGGGGACAACAGAGAGTGAGGCTAAGAGTCCGTTGCCAGTGTCTGGGACTCGGGGGAGGCAGGCCTGCCGCTCAGGAGGGACGCCCATACGAGGGAAGCAGGAATGGGGGGAGAAGGGACGTGGCTGGACTTGGTGATACAGTTGAGCCCTGGATCTGTGGGCTGCACCTCCAGACTTTGCAGTTTTGGGTCAGTTTAAGATGGTTTAAACTGTGTTTCTACCAAATGTAACCCAGAGAGACTTGACTTAATATTGGGCTGTTATTTCCACCCTCCTTCTATCATACTGCTTTTTCTGAAGCCTCATCTCTCACCAGGATCCTGCGACAGCCACCCTATGCTTCTCCCACCCCCAATCCTCCATCCGTCCGTCCATCCATCCATCCATCCATCCATCCATCCATCCATCCATCCACTTATGCATCCATGCAGCCACCCAACACCCATCTGTCCATCCACCTATCCATACACCCACCACCCATCCATCCATTGTCCCCTTCCTGTCCTCACTCCTTCTACTCACTCATCCACCTATTTGTCCATCAGTTCCATCCCTCCTCCCTCTCTC